TTGGGAAGGGTGTGGGGGGTATAGGGTTGGTATAGGGGGTATTGGGGGGGGTATGAGGGTGTTGGGGGGCAGTTTGGGGGTTTTGAGGGGGTTTTGAAGGGGTTTCGAGGGGGTGTATGGGGGTATAGGGGCCCGGTATGGGGGTGTTGGTGGGGTTATTGGGGGTTCTGGACCCGTTTTTTTTTTGCGGGGTGCAAACGACCCCCGACCGGTAGGTGCCGACCAGCCGATCGTTTGGCTGGTCGGCATCCAACCAGTCAAGGGGCGCCAATGGTCGGGGTATGCAACACTGAGATAGGGTCATTATCACTGTACCTTTACTGGAAACTGGCCCAAACGCAGGCATAGTTGCCGCACATTCTATTTAGTTGAAGTACCAGGTTGAAGTACCAGACGTTCTATTAGGGTGAACACAGTATCTGTAGCACAGTCTTTAACGCCCATGACAAATGCTGCTCGAAAACATGCAGATTCAATTACAGTCAATACGTACCTTGCAAAAAGCTCAGCGCCGACGCAGTAATGAAAATACTACACATGGCAAGAACAGTCCGAGCGCTTTTCGAAACTTGTTTCCAGGGGGGATTCGATCCACTATTGAATGCCACGATTACCAGTACCTGCCACAAAGGATTTTTGAAATAAGAGCATGAGAACATCATTCACAAGGGATGCTCAGACAGTCACTGCAGACTGAAAAAGCACACAGATCCCACAGACAGAAAACAAAACTGTGGCCATTGGATCGTCAATCCAACAAACCAAAAATAAAAGGGGAGCCCTCCTAGCAGCACAACATTCATGAACAGTGGTGGTTCTTTAGTCCACACAACAGCAAATTCTGGTCCTCCCTAGACAACGCGTCAAAATGCCAAGCACAGCTTTCAGACATAAGCATGCATACACAGTATACTTCAACTGATAAATCCCAATACCCAGATGGATACATCATAATCAGTGTATGCCACCTGTCCTTCAGGACATCCGTTAAAATTGGAACAATACAGAGAAGGTTAGCATGGCCCCTGTGCAAGGATGACACACACAAATTGAAAATAGGCCCCAAAAAACAGGGTAAGCCAACTACCACGGGTAGTAGTGCCTTCCTCTGCACGTAATCCAAGGCTATAATGAGTATTAATGCCCCAAAATTGTATGTCCCAGCCAGTGGAAGCGTCTGTCTCAAAACCGCCCTCAACACAGCACAACGACCATGCCTCATGTGTAGGGAAAGAGGGTAGCACTTTGCCGGCAGCTGAAGGGCACATGGATGTATCAACTACTTACAGACAAAACCAGCAGGAGCATCATTGTCCGGGCTATTGAATGCTCTCAACCAATCCAGTAACTCTTTCCAGGCTGTCCAGTGTGACCATGTCCAGTCCGATCGAACATTAACAGGCAAGACAGTCAGGCGACCAAGTCCATGTGGCTAAAAGGTATACATGTAACTATTCGTAAACAGATCATGAGTTCGAATGCCAAAAGAATGAGATGGATGCAACAGTATAAAGGGATGCCCCCTTGAAAAAAAAAAAAGAAAAGAGAAACAGAAAAAACGGCCAGACAGAACATTGTCAAGGCCAGACAGCCAAACTTTACACTATCCAGCCCGGCGAACGTTGTCAGGCCGTCAATCCAGACTGTACAGTCACGTCCAGTGCAGACAGGAAAAAACTGCCAGACAAAACCTCATCCAGACCCAACACCATCTGGACTTCCCCTGGGCTTCCCAGTCCAATGGGATGTTGACAGGCATCATAGTCAGACACTGCTTTAACCAACTCCTGCAAAATGGGATGACTGCAACTGTCCATACAAAAAAACGCTTCAGGGCATACTTACACTAGGACCTTTTCGAATGAGCAGTAGACGTAACCACAGGCAAATACATCCTGGTATGGCCGCAATAGTATCCAGATACATGGAGGGAAGTCCCTGTGTGAACATGCCTCGGACTAATCTGCACATGCCTGTGTGCTTTGCTTCATGCAAAGAACTGAGTGAATTAAACTGCACTTCTTTTTCTTTTTCACCGTCAATCGCTCCCTGATCCTTATGTGTCATCGCAGAATTATTTCATCTGATTGTGTCTCGATTCGAACTTCGGTCTGTATTTCAACAGGTCATGGGTGGAACAACTGAGCTAGGCTCGCATTCGCTTTCAACATGGATCACATCCTGATCTGGATGTTTCATCGCTGCCCAGGGGTCATGCAAATCTTCCCTGTATCATTCCAATAATCATGTTTAATGGATGTCTTCAACGACACAGCTAAGTGCATTTCAAGATAGACCAAGTCCCTCGAAAATCCGTGCCCCCCAACATTATGGCACCTTTCAAATGTCAGTGTCACCAAGCACGCATGCACACCCACCCTTGCCCTTCTCCATGCTGCAAAAGTGGGGACCTGGGATGAATATCTAGACTTGGTTCCATGCTGGCTTTCCTGAACACCTATGTTATCTGTGCTTTCCTAAGCACCTTTCCACTCCACCCATGTCAATTGCAGGTTACAGAGGATTTGGCCACATTTCGAATTGAACTTATTGAAGTTGATACCTGCAACAAAGCAGCAGTCTCACCAATGCCATCCATCTGAAGAATCTCATGTGCACAGGAAGATTACAGAACTTGCACCACTACATACATTGTCTGCAGTGCCCTAGGCCAAAAACCAACCTGAAACATAATGATCAAGAAGCCCCAAAGCCTTGAGAAGCTATGGAAGATGTTCCAGAAGCTTCGTCTTTCGACAAATCCACACTTCCCCTCCCGAAAGAGTGTACTCCTCTTCGGGACTTGCTCACCATCCTGCAGCCACAGTATAGACATGGCCGTCCAATTCATGTACACCTTGTCTTCAGCAATCTGATCACTTAACTCTTATATTCAAGCACTTACAGAGTGTCTCTCTCTCTCTCTCTCTCTCTCTCTCTCTCTCTCTCTCTCTCTCTCTCTCTCTCTC